GCACTCGATCCCCTCATCCAGATCATCTATAAAGATATTGAACAAGACCAGCCCCAGAACCAAGCCCTGGGGAACACCGCTTGTGACCGGCCACCAGCCGGATTTAACGCCATTCACCACAACTCTCTGGGCTCGGCCATCCAGCCAGTTCTTTACCCAGCGAAGAATATGCCTGACTAAGCCATGAGCCACCAGTTTTTCCAGGAGAACGCTGTGGGAGATGCTGTCAAAGGCTTTACTAAAGTCCAGGGAGACAACGTCCACAGTCTTTCCCTCATCCACTAGGAGGGTCACCCAGTCATAGAAGAAAATCAGGTTGGTCAAGCAGGACCTGCCTTTCATGAACCCATGCTGTCTGGGCCTGATCCCTTGTTTGTCCTGCACATGCCCTGTGAGCACCCTCAAGATGAACCACTCCATTATCTTCCCCAGCAAGGAGGTCAGGCTGACAGGCCTGTAGTTCCCAGGATCCTCCTTCCAGCCTTTCTTGTAGATGGGCATCACACTGGCAAGCCTCCAGTCTTCTGGGACCTCCCCTGTTAACCAGGACTGCTGATAAATGATGGAGAGTGGCTTGGCAAGCTCCTCCGCCGGCTCCCTCAGTACTCTTGGGTGGATCCCATCAGGCCCCATAGACTTGTGGGTATCCAGATGGCTTAACAGGTCCTTAACTGTTTCCTGCTGGATTATGAGGAGTTTATTGTGCTCTCCATCCCTGTCTTCCAGCTCAGGGGGCTGAATACCCTGCGGATACCTGGTCTGGCTGTTAAAGACTGAGGCAAAGAAGGCATTAAGTACGTCAGCCTTATCCTCATCCTTGGTGACAATGTTCCCCCCATATCCAGTAAGGGATGGAGATTCTCCTTGCCTCTCTTTTTGTTGTCAATATATTTGGAAAAGCATTTTTGTTATCCTTTGACACCGTGGCCAGACTGAGTTCTAGCTGGGCTTTTGCCTTTCTAATTTTGTCTCTGCTTGACCTAATGAGGTCCTTGTACTCTTCCTGAGTTGCCTGCCCCTTCTTCCAGAGATGATAAACTCTCCTCTTTTCCCTGAGTCCCAGCAAAATCTCCCTGTTCAGCTAGGCCCTTAGGGCACATGGGGATCACCTGCTCCTGCGCCTTTAAGATTTCCTTCTTGACTAAGCCTTGAGTGTCTTACTGCAGTAACTCTGTGTATTCCTGCAGTGTTATTACAACTAGTATTAACAACCAAATTTAAGAAAGATGATTTTAAATTCTGTAACTTCAGATAACAAAAAACTTAACCTATAGTCTTCAGCAACTGCCCATACCTTATTCTTAAGAGACATTATCTCAGTCCATAATCATTCATTAAACAGAAGGCACCCTTTCTTCATACTTTTTTCTGGAGTCCTCCATTTCCCCATGAGGGTTTTATTAACAACATATTCTGCTGCATAGTTTTAAAGTTAATTTTAGGAACAAATAATGTAAATTCCTTAGCAAGTAGAAGATGATTTTCTGGTGTGATTTTATAGGTGTCACAGATGTTCTATTTCTCAGACATGCAAGACAAGTTGGAAATTTACCCACTGCAATGCTTGAGGGTAAATAGAAAAGCTGGAACAAAGAGGTGAAGCGAAGAAGGAAAGAAAGCAGAACAAAACACATTCCTCTCTACATCATTAAAGTTTACCTTTGAAGGCATGAGTATCCATACTGAACAAACTAAGATATGTTACCACAGTGCTTAAAGTTAAAATTCTCTTGAGTGCCCTCTTCAAACTTTTCTATAATATTATGTCTACTACCTGATATATTTATATCCTGGTAGCACCTTAACACCTCAAAATATTTTGAGATTCTCCTCTTTTCTCATAGGTTTCAAGAGGGAGCACATTGTATCTCTTATTAGCAATATGTAGCACACACAGTGAAGCTACATGTGTTTTTGATTCCAGCAGCGCTCAACTGCCACTCACAAAAACTTGAGTTTGCTAGGCTCATTTGGGTTTGAAACTTTTAACCTTATTGAGGTACTAGGAAGTCATGGTATTTCAGTATTTCCTTAGTTTCTTAAGGCTTTAGACAGCCTCCCTTAAGTGACATTTTGTTGCATTTCTCCTTCCACAAATATACCATAAGAACATCCAAAGATCTTCTTGCCTTTCCTTTTTTTGGTTTCACTTCTTCCACAACACAGCTTCATAGACATTAATTTTTATATTGTGCCTTTTCTTCACATCTCACTTTTTAACTCTCTAACTTAACTTCACATCTCACTAACATGTTACC